CCCGCGCTCCCCGGAAGGTGCTGTACCCGGGGGCGGGCGGCGTGCACACCGCAGCCCGGGGCAGATCGCAGCCCGCCCCGGGCTCCCCCCGCCTGCGGCTTCGGGCCGGCGGGGTCTGCTGCTATCCTTGGCCCCCAGACTGGGCTCCCAAAGGGCAGTGCACCCGGTGGTGCACCCGTCCTTCGTTCTCAGTCCGCCCGGTTCCCAAACCTGCGGAAGAAACGACCTTACACCAGCCGCCCTCCCCCACCCGGACTACCTGGGAGCTGGACGGGGAAGGGCCCAGTTCGGGTTTCTGGAAATCTTCCTTCCACTCGTGACCATTCTCCGAGCGCCACTTCTCCCGCAACCCCTTTTCAGGCTTCCCGTTCGGTAAACCCGTTAGGCATGCATGCATTTATTTATTTATTTATTACATTTTGTATTGGTTGATTTTTTGTTCTTTTTCCTTTGGGGGGGTTTTGTTTATTTTTTATAGACTCCTGAGCTCAGTCATCAGAAAGAGGGAAATAGTAAAAGGAAGTAATTGTAGAATGGACCTTGATAAATACAGTCCTAAAGCAAGCGTCATCTCAAAGGACAGGACGCGGAGCTCACCTCTTGGATTTCCAAACAGGATGCCTTTCCTCAGCATTTTGCTCTGTAGAGCCCGAATTTTATGAAGATTCCAGGTACAGAAGCTGTGACATAGAGTGTTTACCAGTGTCTCTTACAGTGTGTGCAATATACCATATGAACTATATGTTTACTCGCTTTGCTGTGCGAGGCTGTCTTCTAGTTACTCTGGAACGTATCCATTAGATACTCATCCCTTAGTGTTTTCAATCCCCTGTTAAGTGTACAAATACTCCTTAAATAGCTGGTATTTCCCTTCCTACTTCACGTGTGCATTGACATTCCGAGTAAGCCCCCCAGAGGTCAGATGAGGAACAGGTGAGAGATCTTTCTGAAATAGAAGACAGGGTTTTTTTTAAAAAAATACCTGTTCTTTCAGCCTGTTATAGGTGTTCTCTTGCTCCAGTTTCGTGTGCACTTGAGGTCTTCAAAGAGGAAATGCCCGAATGTGGACCTCCAGCAACGCCCGTGCACAGCAAGCTAATTTATGAGAAAAGGAGCGCTCAGGATTGAGTTTAAGACCCTCTTCTGAATGGAAGATTCCAGAAACCCCATCCAAAGGCAGGAAGTTGATCGGTCAGCTGAGTGGTGGGCATGAAGGTTTGACAGTTTCTAATGGCATCTGTACCAATGAGATGATAAGATCTTTGCTCAAAAAATCTGTAAGGACTGTAATTTTAAACCCATCCTTTTGGAGACATATGCATTCCACCACATTTCTCCCCCGCTCCTGAGGTAGCAGGGTTCTAACACTGGAAGGGGTGACCCCCTCCTGATCTTGACGGTTTGACTGAATTTTTCATAAAACATTCTGGAGATATGGATGGAGAGAGGAGGGAGGAAGAGAGAGATAGTGGGAAAAATAGAGGTAGATAATCCCCGTACTGTGAACAGTTGAAACGGCATTCTTTTCTAAAAATCTTGCTCATACGAAGTCCTCACCGACTCCACACATTTGCCCTCGGTGTGCTTCTGAACTCCATCCCGGAGGTTCCCCGGGAGCTGCAGTGTACACTCTGATGACTACGTTGAGTTTTAAAAGGAAAATATAGGTTTGGTGATAAGAATGATACCGACTGCTTAAGCACCAAACATCATAGCCTAAGATATTAAATAAGGAAAAGATTAAAACAGAAATTGATTTAATCATCACAAATAATTCAAAGTTTTTGAAACATCTATTATCTATAGGCATAAGTGTTTCAATGATGGTGGTTCTTTTTGTTTTAATTTTATCCAGAGCCCAAGGCCTAATTCATAGGATTCAAAAAAATGTGTAGGTGAATTAAATTACAAACATATAAAGGGGTTGGTTTATGTTTTTATGTGTTAAAGATCATTGATACAAGAGAAAATAATGTTAATCATTACATGATATTAAAGAATAACAAGGTTTTAAGAGATTATTTTTGGGAACACCAACATAATCTATTCTTTCAATGTAGTGCAAAATATATAACTGTATAACATTGGTTAACTTATTTAAGTCATTAAATATTTTTGTCTTGAGAAAAGAAAATAGAAAGGGTATAAGGGCAAAAGAAGATAAAAGGAAAAGAAAAATCTGGCTGAGAGAAAAGACAGTGTGGGGTGGAGGTGGTTTGTTAAGATCCATGAGAAAGGTGAAGAGAGAGAAATTAGTAGAAGGCCTTCGTTTCTGTGAAGAACGTCAACAATCTTTAGAAAACTCATTCTTAACGTTCTACTTAAGACTTTCAGAACATTTGCTCGGAGAAATGGGTTGTTATATAGCCCTAATAGAAACCAGTGAAATGAGGGCATGAAACCAGACTGATAATCTTCACTTTCATATTTAAGAAATTCACTTGACAATTGGATTTAATGCAAAAATGTTAGCCAAAGTTTTAGAAAAATTCTGGATTATTAGCCCTATATCAAAGATCCCTACTTTGCAACTAGCCACCTATTTTTTTTTCTGTGTGTATGTCTACGAATGTACACTAACTCACTGCAGTAATCAATTATTTAAGTTGTAAAAGTGGAAGCAGGCCTGGCATAGTGGCACAGGCCTGTAATCCCAGAACTCAGAAGGCTGAGGTAGGGGCTGGGGATTTAGCTCAGTAGCACAGGTACCCGCCTGGCAAGCACAAGGTCCTGAGTTTGAATCCCAGTACAAAAATAAATAAATAAATAAAAGGCTGAGGCAGGAGGATCACCATGCATTCAAGGCCATGCTGGGCTTCGTAAGCAAGTTCATGGCCAGCCTGCACTATATAGTGAGACTCTGCCTCAAAAAAAAATTAAAAATGGAAACAAGTGATCAAATATAAAAAAGTTATTTTGCTCCCTCTGATAAGCATAGTAATTTTAGTACTTTCATCTAATACTGAAATATTTACTTATTAGAACATAACTATAAAAATATTTAAAGTTGTAATACTTAATATGTTTAATCCCTTGGTTTTCAGGTTCTTCAGCATGTATTGTTATTGTTAATATGAAATTTCTCTAATATAATCCCTAATATCGTATACTCATCTTTGACACATATTTGCCCAGGACGTTGCTTACACTCTCTAACCAGCTCTTCCGTGCTGATCTCACCCGTCGTAGTTGAGAATGAAGTTTCTTCATCCCTCTGTACCTTCCTCCACCACCATCACAATCTCAGCTTGCTTTATTTTTCTTTTTCTTACCTCTGATTATTTCAGTAAATACACTCAAGGCTTGTGGAAATGACCAGAGAGAGTCTGAACAAGTTCTTCAATTATATCCCATTGGAGAACAACTAGGATGAGGGAAAAGAGAAAAACAAAAGGAGGAAGGGAAAATAGATAGATAGATAGATAGATAGATAGACAGACAGACAGACACAGACACACACACAAGGTAGCTAAGATAATTGTACTACTAGTTTCTATGGGTTTGTATATCTCCATGCAGAGACAAAGAAACACAATCAGCTGTTAGGGATTCTATGGTTCTAAAAATCTAAGTAATGAGGAGCTAGTTTTTCAGAAGAGCCAGGTGCTGTGTCTCTTCATCTCTGTGAAGACAGAGAACTGTACGTAGTGTGACTGTCTGAACCCTGTGGATATGAGCCCTTGCATACAATCATCCCTGGAGGTCAGTGCACCCAGCACTACTCATGTTCACCAGTCTCTCCCTTCCCCTCTTCCTGTCTCACAAACTGGCCTCTTTTGATTCTTCTTTAAAGTTTCTTCCTTCATCTTTACATCATTATACATGCTGATCACTCTGTCTTTGTCCCACTTACTTCCTCAGACCCTCTGTTTGCATTCACTCTTACTTCTCATTAACCTCCGCACACAGTCACATAATCCAGACTACAGACACTCCCTTCACTGGGTCTCAGACTTACTTGTTGACGTACCTATACTTTCCCAGCACAGTAGGAGATGACTTGCAATTACATGCATCTGAGATATTTAATGGATATATTTTCTTCAGCACTGAACTATAAACTCTGTAAGAGAAATTTTCATTGCATCTTCAGAAGTTAGTGAAGTGCCTGAGTATATAATAGCTGTCAAAAATTAACATAATTTTTAGATAAATATAAAAGTTGATATAATTCAAAAGAATTATAGACAGCATAGTGAAGTGCCGAACAAGCTTGAGATGACAGGGCAAAAAAGTGACAAGAAATTTTTATCCAGCTAGATTGCATTTTTATCATAATTATAAAAACACTAGTATTTTCCAGAGATGTTAGAATATCTTCATAAATAAGATCCCTTTTTCATTGCAATGCAATAGTAAGGCTTATTTGTGAAATCTTAACAAAAATGAAGAAGGACATTTTCAAAAAGAATATAAAATAATAGCATTCAGGTTTTCTGAACAAGTGAATATTCTTGGTTAATTTTTTGCCTCTTGTCATTTAACATTTGATTTTTTTCCAAATAAAATAACTATGTACTAAATTAATTTTAGTGTGTTTATTATAAAGTTGAAAATGTCTTAGAGAAAATTGATATTACTATTAATTTAGAGAGGATAAATGAGGGAGGGAAGATTAAGTACAATTTAAACAGTAATAGAAAATAATTATTGGACTAATATATTATTGAGCATTTGCAAAACAGATTAAAATATGACTTCTGATCTCAGAGGAGTCCATGAAAGTTACACAAGATAGGTTATGATACAAAGTGATAGAATAGGATAGAATATGAAATGTGCCTTTTAAGATAAAGAATTGGAGAAAGAGGTCAATAAAACAAAAGCCATCTAGATTAGGTTAAGGTGCAAAAGAGTGAGTTTCAAAGGTATGTAAGTGGTCTAAAGAAATATCGTCCTGATAAAAAAAGAGACTGTTTCTGAACTGCTATTTGTACTTTGCTATCTGCCTTTTACAATCTGACTTAGAGCACTATATAATTTACCTTTTGAGATATTCTTGACTTTACAACTTAGAGAGTTAGGATCATTTTGTTGTTGTTGAAGATGTATAACAATCCTGGGCAAGATTTGAAATATGATTTACAAATTCTGAGTGTTCACACATCAAGGGAGAGATGTATAGACTTTGAAAACTTATTTAAGTTTTGTCATTTCTGATATGGAGTTCCTGAAATGTATTTTGAATACTATATTCATCAAAATGTTATTGAACATTATTTCTCCCTTATATGTGTTGATGTTGTATTTTATTTAGCAATAAATAAGCCAATATCAAAATGTTCTCCTTTGTTATTCAAGGACTAATATTATTTATCCTAGAAGCTGAAAAATGTCTTTTGAAAAGGTGAAATTTCTCAAACTTTCTGGGATAACTTATTTAAATATTACTTTTAATAGGAATTCCTATTAAAATAAATTTAAGACAATAGTTTTGAACATTGTGAACAAGATTTGAGAAATCAAACTCAGTGAAAACTGGGAATATCAAACGGACCCTTACTTCCCAGAGCTCTACTTTGAATTTTCAACTCTAAAGTGAATTATGTTTTAATGTATTGCACAAGAAAACAAAGCACAAGAAGTTGGAACGTAGGCAAAGGAAACAGATAAACAGAAACTTTATTTTATACAGATAAACTATCTTACTCTGTTTTGAACACTATAACAAAGATACCATAAATTAGCTAGTTGTTTTTAAAAAACAGACATTTATTTCTTATTATTATAGAGCCTGCAAAACTCAAAACCCAAGTGCCCACAGATGATGTGTCTGGTTAGGATCCCTTTCCCAAAGTTGGCACCATGTAAAGTCCTTACATTTCGGCACGTTGGTCCTTACAAGGTTAAGGGACAAAGGAGCTCCCTTAAGCTTCCTTTATGAGGTGATTATTCCCGTTCATGAAGATTCTGCCTTCACATCTCCATCATCTCCTCAAGGCTCCATAGCTGAATACCATGGCAGTGAGTACTATATTTCAACATATGAATTTGGGGGGGACACACACATTTGGAACACAGTGTTTACAAAGAAAATAAATATTGAAATTATCTAGTGCCAGGACAAGGATAAGAAAAGTACAGAACTCTTCAGGTGCATAATTTAAACAGGTTGAATATTTTTTTAAATTATAAAACATACACATCATACATTATTGTAAATATTTTAAGTCTTGTGAGTTGTTTTGTGGCCTTACACACATCACATTATAAGAAATTTGTCATCGCTGTCTTTCCACAGAACTTGCGCATTCTCCCACAATTCTGTATCTACTGAATACCTTCCCGTTCCTCCCTTCCCCTCGCAGGTAATACCCACCATTCCACTGTATCTATAAATGCAACTACAGTAGAAGACTTATGTAAGTGTAATCATAAAGCATCTCTTTATAAATGGTCTATTTCACTAACTATAAAGTCTTCAAGGCTCATCCATCATTTAGCATCTTCTCAGAATTTCTTTCCTTTTTAGAGTTGATTAGTATTCCTTATTGCTACATTACACATTTTGTTTGTTCATTCATCCACTGGTACACATGAGATTTCCGTGTTTTGGCTATTGTGAGTGGTGTTGCTGTGAACATAGGTGTACAGATGTCTACTTTAGTCCCTGTTTTCAGATTTTGTTGCTATAAACCCAAAGTAGAATCACGTGGTAATTCTGTTTATTTTCTGAGGAAATATGATACTGTTTTCCATTGAATGTATACCCTTTCACATTTTCAGCAGCAGCACATAAGAATTATAATTTGTTTACATTATCATCAACAGTTGTTACTTTCTGTATTTTTAATAATCATCCAAATGGATGTGAAGTGGTATCTCATTATGGTTATAATTTACATTTGTGTAGTAATTAGTGATTTTTGAGCATCTTTTCTTGTGCTTATTGACCATTTATATTTCTTCTTCAGAAAAGTATCTGTCTTAATTATTCTTCTCTCATTACTCAGACAAAATATACACCACCAGAGTTAAAGGAGGAAAGGTGTATTTAGCTAAAAGATTGTAGAGATTCCAGTCCATAGTCAGCTGGCTCTAAAGCAGATGGTTTGAGAGAGGGGCATCACAAAAGAAGACAGTCCATGGCACCCACAAGGTAGCAAGAGCAACAAGCAACCTTCACAGCATCTGTCTGCCCCTTTTATACTCCATCTAGGCTACTGGGATTGAGGCTGTGCCAAACCAAGTGGATTTATGTAGTAATGACACACCCTTAATCCCAGCACCACACCCTCTAGATTCAGAAACCTCTGAAAAAGCCCCACTTAAGAATGGGTGAATCTTCCACCGGGACACCTAGATAAAAACCTTAACAGTATCTAATGAGTCCTTCAGTAATTTTCAAACTGAGTTACTTGAGGTTTTCTATTTCTTCATTGTGTTAAAATGTAAGAGGTATTTTATATGTTCTCAGTAGTAAACTTTTACATATATATAATTTGCAAATATTTTCCCATTCCATTGTTGTTCTTTGACTGTGTTAATGTTACTTGATTTAGTTTCTAAATGTTTCTAATTTTGACGTCATCAATGAATTTTAAATTTTTTTCTGAAATAAGAATGAATTAAAAAGCTATGATGAGCAAATTGTCAAAATTTTAAATATAAACAGATGAGTATCACTGACTTTTCTTTGCTTCTGGCTTTAATATTGCTAGGTAGGTGGATTTGCTATGTATTTTCTATGGTGTGTGTTTTAATACAAGTTCTATGGCTCAGCCACTCTATTATAACAAGTAGATAAATCATAGAAGAAGCATTCCTGATATGTTCTGCATTGTGTAATAAATAGTACTTGTGTAATTTAACTTCACAATTCTCTTTATTTTTACTTTCCAGGAGAGAAGAAATAAACAAATCCAATGAATTCTTCCAGATTTTTCTTTCTGAATAAATGTCATTATTCTTGTGAGAGAGAAAATGGTCAATTTCTCTATAGGAATCAGAACTGCAAATGGTGCAACAGGAGACTCGCTCCAGGGGGAGGTGATCAGGCTGCAAAGCCCGGGAAAACGTGTTTTGTGTGCACTGTTTTGCCTAAAGCTTTTACTAACCCAAGGAAATCGTGTTTTCATATTACATAGGGAAATCTCAAAACAGGAAGTCTACATTGCTCTGAAAGCTCATACAAAGTTTGCGATATTAATAGACTTAATAGATGTTATTTAGATTTTCCAAATCTCAGCGTATAGTGCTCTGAAACTTCCTTTTATCTGACCACTGGTGACTCTATGTAGATTTAGCTTGCTGAACAGAGTGTACATATTTCTCATTGTTCCGCAACCCTGTATCTTCCATCAAATGGAGAGAGTAAACTAGATTAATGTACATTTTCTTTTTTGTAGTGTTTTCCATTGTCAAACACTATGGCCTTCTTTCTTAAATGATTGGATCAATGCTAGACTGTATTTTGAAGCTCGTATTTAAGAAGGTATTTTTTAGAAATGAAGTTCATGCTCTTAACATCCTTACAAAAATCATCCTCAAAGGCCATAGCACCACCTGTCAATCTAGCGGACACTGACAGGTAACAACAAAGACCATGAAAGTTGCTTGTAAACTGCTTTGAATTGGAGCAGTTTACTTGCTCAATAGGCAGAACAGAGCATTTTAAAAAAATAAAATGAAATACACGTTTATAAAGCTATCTGAATCTTTTTTAACTGCTTTCTTTAAACACACGTAGTAAAAGCTTTCATGTGAATTTCATTAAGCTTCAAGGTCATTTAGGAGAAAGTGGTAAGCATATCAATGACACCGGTGCTTTGCGTTTAGTGCAGATGTTTGCCTATCAAATGGATGTGTGTTAAAACAGGACACTCAGTGATCCATTTTCTATCGTTACTATTTTAATATTTGTAAAGAAATTTTAATATACTTAAGTACTATATATTTTTCTTTGTATCTTCAACTAAATATAATACATATATGTATAGATATATATATAATAATAATTCCTCTACGTTACTATGACTTTTTACTTTCAATGAATAAAAGAGAGAGCAATTGAGGTCATAATCTATTATTCCTTCAACTCATTTGCAATTACATATGAATACACTACACAGGATTATCCAATGGTTTATGTACATAATATACATTATGTGTTTGTGTATATAATCAGTACAGAATTGGACTTTACCTTAGAAAGGTAGTTTTGCAAGTACATTAAAATGATATAAATTCTGCACTTCTCATAAGTCTGTAATGTATGTTTAGTTCTAATCAAAATAATAATTCAGAGCAAGAAAAATATCTGAAAAAGTATTATTTTACATTTTGAATAATTATTGAATTATATATACTTACAAGGACAACAATCTCAGTTTTTACCTAGTTGTATTTACATGCCTGTCTTATAAAATTTTGCTTCAATAAGACTTAATTATATGTATTAATGCACAGTAGTAGTCACTGAAATTTTGTTATGCGAATATGTTGAAATACAAAATTTGTACATAGTGGTGAAGTTCAGTTATAATGTATTAGAATAACTTACTAGATATTAAAGGATAACACTGAAAGATTTTCTTCAAGTAAATAATTAGAATTGCTAATAAATTTGTAAATAGTGTGCTACTTGAGCTTATTAAATGGTGTACTGTATTGATGAGTATGAATATTGTACATTATTTTAAAAACACTGCTCTTAATGAAATTACACTGAAGAAAATAAAAACTCTTTAAGTCGAAATAATGAGCACCACAAAATATGTTTTGTAGTAAGGGAACCTGATCTGATATTTCTCAAAAACAAAAGAATTGCCACAATAGTCTTGATTAGTTATACTCCTCCAGAATATGTTTCCAATTAATTAAATTTTGAGTTAATTTGCTAAGCTTTCATTTCAATTATCCATAAGTTACTGAAAGTGTACTAGCATAATTTTTACTTAAGTAAGTTGTAGTAAATTTTCTAAGATTGAACACTACATTAGAAAGATGCTTTTTATAATTTTATACTTACAGAAATTCTCAATCTGCACTTACTGTGTTTCTGCAGTATAACTACATCACACTTTCTAGGCAAATATATTAATGATTTAAGTAAAAATTGAGCTTTATTACATTATAAAGTGATTTGAATATTCAAACTACAAAGAGAAATAAGTCCTAGCTATATTTCTTTTGCTTTTTCATGTATAAAATAAAATAAGAAGTATGAAGAATGGGTACACAGCAAATATTGGCCAAAACAGACACAACAGAACTGTTTTAAGCCTTGATAATCTAAGAAGTGAAAATAATACTCATTACAATTTGATATTAATTTACTTTTATATTAGTTTGGACATCAGTCATCTTTGAAAGTTCATTTCTATTATTTAGAATATGAATGGTCTTTTCATACCCATTGCTATTTTCTCACTAGACTGTTAATCCTCTTTTCTACTTATTTTGGCAGCCCTTTCTGTATTAGACTTGGATGATGTTGATTTCTCAACCTTACAGATTTTTGCTTTTCAGAAAAAGTCACATTTACCACTGTTGTCTTTTTGGCCATGATATCACACATAGGAAACTTTATTCTAAATGTTGTACAATTCCCCCAAATTTTACATCCTTACTTGTTCAGTGTTCATTTTGTTTTATTTTCTCCTTAAATGTTATATGTTATGAGAGGTTATTGATCCAATTTACCTTTTATTTTATGCCCAGAATTTCACTAATAATTTGAAATGTGATCTTCCCTATGTTATGAATTTTCCTGTTTTTGCATTTCTAGCTAGTTGGGTTGATGTCTATGTATATACCATTATTTCCTATTTGTAATTATTATTTTGTCATGGTGGTAATTTATAATTTGTTTTATGGCCTGAAATAAATAATATTTTCTATTCTAATATCAATTCCAAGTCATATACTTTTCTGAGCTTCTAGAAGTAAACATACCTCTACGAAATGGGTTCTGGGATATTACTAAGGCCCAAAAGAACTCTGGCATGGGGCC